GGTCGCACGTCGGCCGAAGGCATCTTTCTTTCCGCTGCCGCTTTCTGTACGCTGATTTGTTGAGACAAAATAATTAATTTCTCAAAAACTATTGCGAATATCGCAAAACGGCACAGGACTTTCTTGCTCACCTCAATCCGTTCTACGTTCTCACCAAGGGTCATCATGGGACTTCGGAACACCCTGTATATACATATATATACATACATATATATACATACATATATATACATACATATATATACATACATACATACATACATACATATATATACTGTTGCGCTCACGTTACTAGTAAAGTCCATGTATAGAGGGACAAGTGAAGAAGGATGGTTGGCATGCAACTGATAAACAACAGCTGACGAGAGTGTGGACAACGAGTCGCTGACGAGAGCGAAGATTCTGTCAATCTTGTTAATCTTAAACTCGGCTTGCGGAATTGTACAGAAAGAGCTGTATATAGTAAAGTTTCTTGTTAATTTCTAAACGTGTGCATTCATTTATCCAGTGCGCGAGCGCGAGTGAAGCGCGAGTGTAACATTTTGACAGACGCTTTTGTCAGCTGTTGTTTATCAGCTGTTTGCCAACCATCTTTCTTCACTTGTTCCTCTATACCGGGACTTTACTAGTAACGCGGGCGCAACAATACATACATACATATATACATACATACATAATATTTCTTAATTTAAGATGATGTAATAATTATAATAATTATATTATTTTCCAGTTATCATCAATTTTACTTGGCATTCATGATCCATTTGTACCATTCGAAAATCTATTCTGCGCCTTGTTCCTGGGAGGAATTTGGGACTCTCTAGCTAAATTATTGGGCCGTGGTCAAGCTAAAGATGAAAAGACAGATGCAAAAAAAACAAATTAAATAATAATAAGGAGAGAGTCAATATACTATTTTTAGATATTATAAAATACATATTCCCGTAAAATCTATTAATCAAATTTTGTCCTGCATCTTTCGTTGCAGAAATTTGTATATATAATAAAATGTTACCGAAAATTTGATTTTGTTATAAAATTGGTTCATCACAAAAAAGTATTATTTATGGCAGAGTTTGGTAAACTAAGTACTTTTCTGCCGATTTTCGAGAGGTTTTACCTTGCGTTGTCTTCCTTGCCTTGTCGCTGCACGCGAAGCCTACGAGTCTCTCGAGCGTCAGAAGAGCGTTTTCGTATGTCGCGCTGTGGAATTTATAGAAAGGAAAACAATAAAATGACTTGTGAATATTTTGTTTTAAAGATACAATATATTTTATCCAATTTTTATTTTAATTGTGAATATTTGCTTTCAATAATTTTCCACGTCACCTGAATTATCAAGTACTATTACCGACACGTTTTTTTTTTTTAATGATCTCTAGTAAGCTTATTCTGCTGATAACTGAAACGACTAACTGATTAGACAGAAGCAGAATAAACAATGACAGGCACATAGTGTTTTTTGCTTACGATTTCGAAATTCAGATTGAATTTGTCAGATTTTTATTGTCTTTTTGTACACATATATGCGGGATATCACTTAAAAAAGAATGCATCAGCTATAATATCTCATTGGTGACGTGGATAATTACTGAAAACAAATATTCACAATTAAAATAAAAATTTGATAATATATAAGGTGTAATATAAGACGTCTAAGAAGAAAAATACAAGCTCGCGGGCCTATCACGCAGTGTTAGATCTAAAACGTAGTCCCCACTTCTAGGTCTATGAGATAGGCCCGCGAGCAATCGACAATTTTCTTCGCCGGCCGCGGCGAGCTGTATGTCCCGCCTGTCGCATTGTGCGCTCTGATTTTCCGAACTATTTTAATTAATATCTCGAAATTTTACGTGATTGTTTAAAAAATGACCTCTACAATATTTGTTTATTTTTATTTGTTCTACTTGTATTCTTCTCCTTGGACATATTATACCTTGGACACCTTGTATATTGTATCTTAAAAGAAATATCCACAAGTCATTTTATTGTTTTTCCTTCCCTGGACTCTACAGCGCAACACCCGGAGACGTGCTTCTGATACTCGAGCGACTCGTAGGATTCGAGTGGGGTGACAAAGGGGACAACGCGAAGCGGAGCCTCCCAAAAATCGCTCTGATTTATGGAATTATAAAATAAAAACTATATAAATTAGTCACATAATAAATAGACCAATATATGATCTTTGCCAAATCATAAAAAATGTTGAATATACTCTAGTAGGAATCATATACGTTTCGCCAGTACGGAAAAATGGCCCAATACTGGGTCGATATCGAAAAGCGGATGTCCGGTTTTGGTACTGGCTCAGTACTGCCTAATATAAAAAAAACTGTATTATTGGTACTAGCTCCGTATTAAGGTTAGATATTAGGTAGTCGTACCGTATGTATACTGGGATGTTACCGAAAAGTGTTTGTCGTTTTCGGTACTGGCCCAGTTTAAAAAAGTGTATGATTGGTATTGGTCCTGTTTGTAGTATCAGTACTGGATATCCAAGTAAGAATCGTATACAATCTGCCAATAGCAGATATTAGGCCAGTATTATGCTGGTACCAAAAAACGGACGATACCAGTGTTCTTTACGGGAAAACGGAAGACGTCACTAACGCGAAACCTAGATAGTGGTAAGAACGCTTGTCTGACAAGCGGAAGACTCGAGTTCGATTCCAGCCGTCGCTCCGAAGATTTTTTCCTCATAAGATTATTAAAAATAGACCTGTATAGGTACGAGAGCAGCCCGGCCATAGTCTGATCTTTCTTTCCATACTATATAGTTGTTATATTAACAATTGTACAAATAATAAAAATTACTAGGAATCGATACTGGCCCAGTACTGAGAATAAATATTTCTCCAGTACTAGGAATCAATACTTTTTTTATACTGGTACAGTACTGATTTTCGGTACTGTACGGTGACAGTACTGTTTTCCGATATTGACCTTTTTCTATCATCCCAGTATCACACCAATACTAAACCCGTACTGGCATCTGGTACTATGTCAGTAACGTTTATCATAAATTGGTACTGGACCATTTTGATGCCAGTAGTAAATTCCTACTTGGGTATGTACAATGATAGCGCGTACACGCGCACGCACACAGGATCTAAACTTAATTTGTATTCATTATTTATATAGCTATTTTTTATGAAAACTGAATACGTTTCTTGCTACCATATATCCGGAAAACATCCGTCACATACCATAAAATTTTTTTTTAATACAATAGTGTAAGCAAGTTTAATTTATTTAAATGGATATCGAACGAAAAATTATGAGTATCATGTAGACATAATCTCTTGTAGCAGTCAATCGGTAACGAGGAATCGGTAGCGTCACATGTGTGTCGCGTATAGCGAACATGTTAAATGAAGAAGTATTATGACTTCTTCCGAAGAACTTAATAAAGTAATTATTATTAAATAAAGTTTACTCAGCATCATCGCGAATTATTTTATACTCTGCATGCAGAATGTTTGATAATTTGCACGATATTCTTACTTATGAACAGGTAGAAATTATAAGTATTGTTGTTGAATATATTAAATAGAAAAGTCTTCTATATTACACACGCGCGCGCGCACACACACACACACACACACACACACACCATCGTTTCTCAGTCTTTGCAATAGTTATAAAGAAATTAAAAGATATCAGCGTATAAGGCCGGTATTCATATAATCGGATCTTATATTTAAGACTATCTTAAATTTTCCTTTTCGTAGCTAATAAAATAATCCGTATATCATTTTAAGATGAACTTAAGACGATCTTAAATATAATTAAGACGATCTTAAATATAAATAATTAAATATAAGATCTGACTATAAGTACTAGCCTAAGTCATGAATGCAATGAAGCAGTGTTGTGAATCAATATCATACACACATATATTTGGACTATCTAAGAATATCTGGACCAAATATGGACTGTTAATTTAAACAAACGGGCAAAACAATTTGTATACTTTTTTTCTGATAAAGTTAGGAGCGCATCGAGTCCCACAAATAATATTTACTGATATCTGGATGAAACTATCCAGATGGTCATTTAGATGGGGAAATCTCGAAACATCTCATTTATATCTAGATGGTAAAGCATCCTAAAGCACCTTCATTTTCATCTTATATGAGAAATATTATCTAAAAATATGAGAAATACTATCTAATATTATATTATCCATTTTATCTAAAAAAAAGATTTAGAGTATTTTTGATATGATATTCAGTTATATGTTCAGAATTTATTACTTCGAGTTTTTAACTAGTGACATTTTATGTAAAGACTTCTTCTTTAAAAGAATAAATAGTTTATATATCAAAAATATGCGTTTAGAAGCGAGTCTATTTTTAGTAGTAGCGGAGATAAAGATTTGATATTTTAAGTTTTCGCGATGTCCATGCATATTAGATTTGGTTTCCGGGTTTGAGCCGCGTGGATTCCTTTTTGTTTGATTCCGATGTTTCGCGAACATTTCAGTCCGCTTCATCAAGGAGAAACAACCCGATGCATCCCGGGGAAGCGGACTGAAATGTTCACGAAACGTCGGAATCGAACAAAGATCTTTTTTACGATATTATAAAAAATGAGTTACATGACATTTTCCCGAAAACTAGATGGGAAAATTGTGGTACTAACAAAAACCCTTAGACAACAACTTTAATTTCTGCGAATTAGTGACACTGTTGAAGTAGCAAGGCCATAAATTTTACGGGGTCGTTTTGACATATGCGTATGTATGTGTCAAATAATAAACTGTCACTAATCCGCAGAAATTAAAATTGTGTTGTGTAAGAGTTTTTGTTGATACCAACATATTTCCAATCTAGTCTTCGGGAAAATGTCATGTAATAAAAAAATGATGTTAGTGTACAGCAAATTATCAGCAGTAATATTGAGCCACTTTCTTATTTTGAAATCGAAGGAGAGTTACATTCTTTGACGAATTTTCTTAATGCAAAACAAATTTTTTTTCAAAGACAATATATTGCGCGCGCGCTAAATATGTAATATTTCATGTTGCAGTATTTCTAAATTATAGTTTAGAAATAATTATATATTTTAAAAGAAAAATAAATTAATTTAATTCCTTCAATCACAATTATATTTCTAAATGTTTTAAACATAATATAACTGAAATATATTTCTCAATTATTAAGTAATTTTTAAAATTTAATTTTGTAAATATTTTGCTAAGATTATTTGCCATATATACGTATATATATGTCCCGTATAAGGCGTTAAGAAGAAAACTATAGGTAGAACAGATAAAAATGAAAAAATATTGTAGATGTCATTTTTCGAACAACCACGTAAAATTTCGAGTTATTAAATAAAATAGATGGGCAAATCAAGCGTGCGACGCGACAGGGGGGACATATGGCTCGCCGCGGCCGGTGAAGAAAATGGACGATTGCTCGTGGGCCTATTTTATAGATAGACCGTTTGGCATATTGAAATAGGTAGCTCTGTGTGCATCCGTGTACATGTGCGCTCGTCCATTTTCTTTTTTGGCTGCGGCAAACCGTATGTCTTGCCTGCCACGTCGCGCGCTCTAATATGTTCAACTATTTTAATTAATATCTCGAAATTTTACGTGGTTGTTTGAAAAATGATTTCTACAATATTTGTTCATTTTTATCTACTTATATTCTTCTTGTTGGACGTCTTATGCAGGACACTGTGTGTGTGTGCATGCGTGCGCGCGCGCGCGCGTGTGTGTGTGTGGTACGTGTACATACAAGGTGTTCCCAAAAGATGGTACCAAATTTTAGGGATATGCAGTACTCGTTAAAACAAACCAAAAAGTCTTAATAAACAGTACTCCAAAACCTTTTATTTCTGAGTTATGAAGCATTTTGTTCTGTGAAAAATAGAAAATAAATTAAATCTACAATAAATGTTCAATGTGCCTTCGGCTCATGTCAATACACATTTCGGCATGTTTCGTCATTGAAGGTCAAAGAGTCCAGATTTATTTTGTATTTGTTGACAACAGTTTTCAAGTCTCTTTATCAGTTCATTCACGGACGCCCGTGTGACCACCTAATTACGCAGGGATTGTTGTATTCAACTTTGGATTGTGGACTGTGTCTAGTTTTGTGTTATCTGAAAAATCGCTAATTTTTACACAAATTCTGAAATGATGGATATTCATTTTATGTATGGCAGAGCAAAGGGCGATGCTTCAAAAGCAGCACGCTTGTATTATGCAGCTTATTCGAATCGCCGACAGCCAAGTAGAAGAATGTTTAGCAAAATTCATCAACGCTTACGTGAGACCGGACAGTTCAAACTATATTTTAGTTATTTTCTATTTTTCACAGAAGAAAATGCTTCATAACTCAGAAATAAAAGGTTTTCGGAGTACTGTTTATTAAGACTTTTTGGTTTGTTTTAACGAGTACTACATACCTCTAAAATTTGGTACAACCTTTTGGGAACACCCTGTATATACTTCCTTCTCTTCACTTGCCTTCACTGGTTGGATCATGTCCAGATCTTGCCTTCACCTGGTTGGATCATGTCCAGATCTTGCCTTCACTGGTTGGATCATGTCCAGATCTTGCCTTCACTGGTTGGATCATGTCCAGATTTTGCCTTCACTGGTTGGATCAT